ATTAAAGCAACGAATAGCTAAATAAATGATACGTGTGCAAATATTTCCTTGAGTCTTTTTTAATTATCCTTATATCAAGGAAACTTTTGGATAAAAATTTTCAGTTTGTTTTCCTTAATCCATGAAAGAAAATTTTTTATTTTTCATTTTCCAAAGTTTATCATTTAAGTTTTTATTACTTTTTATGGAAAATAAGGAGTATTTCCTTTGTCAATCTTTGCTTTTGAAACACCTAATTTGCTGTATAATGTGGCAGTTAGGATTTTTAAGAAATGTTGTGTTATGTTAATTTGTCTTATACAAGTATAAAATAAAAATATGTTTTACAATTTCTTTAACTAAGGAAAAGGTGTTTGTTAAGGCAATTTAACAAAATTATTTCATATTTATAATATGATTTTTCGTCACCACTATTACTGAAAAAAAAAAAAGTTAAAAATAAGAAAAATTTATTTTTCAGTTCTAGATACATGAAATGTGTTTCAGGCGTTCAATATCCAAATCAATTTTAAGTATTGTTGGAAGTGATTGAGGATGCGTCGTTAAGCTTTTAAACAATCAGCTAGCTAACTATAGTAGATCTCCAAATTCTATGCGCTTTTCCGTTTGAACGGCCATATGTGAAAGTCATGCTAGCTTGTCGATGAATTATAGAGTATGCGGCAAACATCGTAAATCTTTGCAATAGAATTGGCGCTGATTTGGAAACATTTTTTAATACGCTTTCATTAGTTTCACCTGTATGTTTGTAACTGACTCTTTGGCTCGATTTTTGCCCTACTTTAAGCGATCCCATTTAATTTAAACGTTGTAGACTTATCAAGGACGCAAAATATTTTTGATAAGTTTATTATCTCATCATGATCAGGATCGCCAGGATGAGTGATTTTATTTAAACTTATGAAGAGCCATTTAACGCATGAATGAAAGTACCCAAGACATTCAAACCTACGTGGGACAGTGGACACCGAATAACGCGCCTGACTACGCATCAGGAGATTCCTTGTTCGAATCCTGGCTGGCTCGACCTATTCGCATTTAGCCTTTGTTTTACTCACAATTCAATTATTGTAAGAACTATAGTTCCATTCCTCCTTACCGGGACCTCATTTAAATAGTATAGTTTAAAACACTGAAAACACGCTTTTAGAGTGAATCAAACAAAAAGTAAAAATAATTGTTAACGTAAGAATAAAATGACTGACGAGAAAATGAATGTCACTGTTCTAAAAGCGTGGAGTGCTTTGTAGGACATTTTTTAAACTAACTCTGCATTTCGGAATGAAACGAGTGAAAATTATAACGATTGATATCGAGCACCCCACGCCTTTAGAACAGTGACATTCATTTTCTCGTCAGTCATTTTAATCTTACGTTAACAATTATTTTTTACTTTTTAGTTTGATTCACTCTAAAAGTGTGTTTAGTTTTTTTAAACTATAATTTTTTTAACTATAATTATAACTATAATTATAACTATAACTATAATTATAACTATAATTTTTATTGTATTTTGCTAAAATATTCCCTTCGCCAACGGAAAATTACATAAAGATGTAAATGCAATTTTTAATGTAACCTATTCACGCAACTACGTATTTCTTTCAGAAGAAAAATACTCATTATATTGGAAATACGTTTTTCTGGAATTTAAATCACAAAAACGCATTTTAATAAATGCTTAACGCAGTTCAAAAGTTTCTCGTATAATATTTTATTTTATTTATTATTCTTTGATTTATGTTTAATCATAAAATTAAGTGAGAATCTTCTTAGAATAACATTGATTTTTAAAGAACAGATTTGTAATTTTTATTTTCACAGGAGGAAATGCGAAGTTTCGAAAATGTTTTACATATACTTTTATTGTTTTATTCTTAAAATTTTAATTTTAATTTTTTAACACTGAGAAAGTTCATAACTTTTTTTTTAAATTTTAATATTTTGAATATTGAAAATAGAAAAAAAAAAAAAAAAAAATTGTATTACTTTTAATTTATTACGAAGTCTTGCTTGAAAATAATTAGATTTTTAAAAATTATTGCAAAGAATAACTTTCAACCTTCATAGGAAGGAAATTCGTACGACACGATTTTGTTCTAATATGATCGAGAATTATTAAAAATACTAATGAAACGCAATATTGATACAACACCTTTGCAATATTAGATAATTCTGCATATAATAATGCTATATGTTAAAAGTTGATTGTATTTAAATTTTCTTTTATTTTAGAGCGTATGACGTATTTGATCCAAAATTAAATAAAGATAATTAAATTTGAAATTCATCTTGTCATCTTTAAATGAAAACTGTTTTTTCTACTGACTAAATATTTTCAAGTATGTATTTTTGAATATTTCGATTAAAATTTTAAATAATTATATGCATGATTTTGCAATCCTTAAAACTGATTTGGATAGTGAACGCCTAAAACATTTAATTTATCTTGAACTGAAAAATAAATTCTTGTTTTTAACTTTTTTGTTTTCATTAATAGTGGTGACGAAAAATCATATTATAAATATGAAATAATTTTGTTAAATTGCCTTAACAAACATCTTTTCCTTAGTTAAAAGAAATTATAAAACCTATTTTTATCTTTTGTAATCTCGCCTTTTTTGTATTATTTTTTTTTTTTTATTTTATACTTGTATAAGACTCTGGCGCTCGGTATCACAGGTTTCGGGTTCGAGTCCCGGCGGTGCCATGAATATTTGTAGTGGTTTGGAATACACTTTAAAAACCGTAAGTCCCGGTCTAACATGACTTTAGAGCGTTGGGCTGACAACCCTACCCCGTAAAAAACATCTCAGGTTGTTGAAATCTGATAGTAGGCAGATGGCTTTGGCCCACCACGGGCTGTTGCGCCAATTATGATGATGATAAGACAAATTAACATAACACAAAACTTCTTAAAAATTTAACTGCCACATTATACAACAAATTAAGTATTGCAAAGATTGACAAAGGAATTACTGCTTATTTTCAGAAGAAAAAAATAATAAGTTTTGGAAAATTAAAAATGAAAATTCATTTTCCTGTATTTGGCAACTTAAAAGTAGCATTAGGGAAGCGAAATATTTTTCGTTTTCAAATTTACAATCCAGGCTTGACTGCACCGAACTAAAAATAACGATCACTTACGTGCGACTGTATTGGCAAGAAATAATGATTAGCTTACATTGCGTCTGATTGTGAACTTTCATAATGGAAACGCGAAGCATTCATGGGTACGGGGGAAAACTCAATTCTAAAGAACTTGCTTAACTTGCCAACTCATTTCTTAAAAACTTCTCAACAAATTCAATTAAAAAAAACTGGGAATTTGATTACAAGACAACTGAGTAAAAATCATATTTCAAAATCAACTGAAGTGAAATTATATAAACAAAATAAATTGTTGAATAACACGACACGAAATGTGAGAAACTTCATTTGCTTTGATTTGATTTAGCTTAGTTCGTTCACTTACCTGTTGTCATTCAATAAAATAATAACAATGACAATGTTTTATGTACAAATAATGACAATGTTTTATTTTGCAGCAAATTTACAGACATACACACACACAGTTTTTCTTTTAGCGTTCACTGACAGTTTCCTGTGTATTTTTGTCCATAGAAGATACAATTCAAATTATACAAATGTAAAGAATTTGAACAGGTATATAATAAGCACCAATTTTAATGCCATGTGAGAGGCAAATAAAAGAAGTTATTTTTTTTGACGAGCGTCATTTACTGAAAAGTTCGCCGAATTATTCATTTGCTTCTGTTAAACAAGACAATAATGCACAAGATGAAATAATCATATTTCACAGCTCCATGGCCAAAACAAAACCAAAATCCCCATAAAAACCGAAACAATCTAAACAGGAAGAAAAAGAAAGAAATCTCAACCTACATCTACCATTCCAACTTCCTGCACAATATTGCCGCTGCATTGTCTACAATGCCACTGTCATCGTTAACAATGACTCGGAATCCTTTTTTTTTTTCCCTTTCAACAGAAATGATGCCGTCTTCCGTCAAAGAAATAGGGATAAAGGGAAAAATCAGTGGGGAGAGAGAGAAAACATTAAAGGCAGGAAGAGCACGAGATCTGTGGTCATTGGGGCTTCAGTCAATCGTTTCTGTCATTAAGGTCCTAAGAAGGCTCATTGTTGGCCGCTGCGAAGGTCACAGGGGGAGGGGGATGAAGGCTCTGCGCAATCGGAAGAAATTCCACCAAGCCAAAGAATCTGGAAGAAAATACCGGCTGACAAAAGATCTGGAAGCACCACGGGTGGTTGATAAGGGGTTATGGATGTCAGTTCTTTCTTTTTGTGTGCGAGACTGGTTTTTTAGTTCTTTGGGTGTTTATTATTTGTTTTTGTACGGTTGAGGTTTAATGGCCATCTTGGCCAGCATCCAACCACAGTTACTTACATTACTTTTTGGTATCAAATCTCTTGCTTACTAACACGGGCCTGTCCGTTGCATTATTCACATATCATGGTAGTTAAATACATAGGAGGGAGAGATTATAGAATTAATTGCATTGTCGTTTTCAAAATTATTATTATTATTATTATTTTTTTTTTTTTTTGCCATTTGAAAGAAAATGAATATTTCATTTAAAATAAGTTGAATCAAATGTTCATATCAAATAAACATAATTACATTAAAATGGTGAATGAAAAAAAAAAAATATTCCATTTAACCCTACAATATATTGTTGTTGTTTCTTAACCCACTTGGCTGGCCAAGCCCAGACGTACTCATGACTGAAGGGGAAGGAAGCAGCTTCTGTTGTGATGGAGCACCCGTAGGTAGAAAGTCTGACTTTGGCTCCGTGACGCTCTTACAGTCATAGGAGACCGGGACCTACGGCTTAAAGTGGATTCCGAACCACCATAAACACCCATGACACCACCGGGATTCGGAACCCGAAACCTGTGGCACCGAGCGCCAGCCACACGGCCATTCAGGTCCCAAATTTGTGAATGCCAACGGCCGGCGGTGTTCCCAGGGTGTTCACCCACCCAAGTACTCACCGCGCCCAATGATGCTTGACTTCGGTGATCTAACGGTATATTCAGCATGGTATCCCGTTGGCTCACTACAAATATAATAATATGTTGTTGTTTATTCTTATCCCACTTAGTTTTGATGTTGCAGTCGACCAAGTCCAAGAACCCGTGTGTCTCATGAACGGAGGGAAAGGGACAGGAGAGGGCAGCTTGTGTTGTGATGAATCATCTCAAACGCCATCGAGACTTTTGTTTTTTGAAACGCTGTCTACCACAGAGCCGCCAGTGGACGGAACCTCAGTCCTAATGCTCATCAGCGGTGTACGTTGCAACTGAAGACACGATTGGTTTGGTTTGTCGCACTACGGTAATATTTTGCACACATTGGCCTAATTCGACTTAGGACCAGATTAAAGTTTATTCCGAAACCAAACATGCATGCCACCACCAAGATTGAACCTGAAGCCTGTGGTACGAAAGGGAAACAAGACTGGGGCAATTTAACGTATTGTGGCTAAAATGGCGCATTTCATCCAAAATTCGACGAATTTAATATTTTTACTATTATATATGCATTCGGTATTTTATTTGAAAGTATTCATTTTGAAAAAAAAGTAAATATAATTGATTTTATATTATCTTATTATAAAAATTTGAATAATAATTCTAATTAACTCCATACTATTTGAAAAGGATTTCTTAGTGAGAAATGCAGAGCATTTGCGCATCGTAGGGGAGAAAACCCGACAAACTCCCACCAGATAGCCCGATTCACGAGACAAGATGCTGAAAGTCACAAAGGCGATCGAATCTTTTCGGGTCTTTTTTCTTTTTTTTTAACAATGTCTACCACAAAGATGCTAGAGGATTGAACCTCAGCCCTAATGTTCACCAACGGCGCACGTTGTCACCGAGCCACGAGTCGACCAGACAAAGAAGTATTTCGAATTTATATTACTTAAAAAAAATATATATACTTAAATAGTATGCTGGGAAACAAACAATAGGAAGTGATTTTAATTTTTTTTCAATTTTACTAATAAAATATTTTTTTCTTTATTCTACATACAACACAAAGTCACAATTACTCATAGATTTAAAATATTGTTTTAAGTATACTTATATTTTAAATATTTAAACTATAGCTACAAAATAATTGAAATAAAAATATCATCAATGATGAATTTTATGTTAAATAGCCATTTAAATTTAATAATTCATTCAAGCAGATATTGTTATTAAATGAAATAACATTTAGTAAGACGAAAATTTCCCTTATTTTTCTTAAATAAAAAATATTTAAATAATAAATACTTAAAACAAATTCATACACAAATGATTCTTCAAATTCCCCAGTAACTCTTCCTGAATATAATTAAATACCTAATACACAATCATAACATTACAATCTTAATCAGTAATTTCCTACTTACACTGCAAAATTTTTCCCCCAAAACAAAATGAAATTGTCATTTCCAACAACGCTTAATTAATTCCATAAATAAGCAACCAGAGAAAATGACTTCGAAGGGCGATCGACTCAACCGTGTTCGTCCATTTGTCATGTTTGGCAATAACTCATTTTCGCCAAGTTGGCGTTCTTTTTTTCTTCCCTTTTCCGACATCCTCTAGCTGTCTATTTCCGAGTTTATTAATATGTAGTGTATCTACTTTCGGAAGTCACAGAATTAATTCAGTGACTTTTTTTTTTTTCTCCGTTCCCATCTTCTTCCAAGATTTACGAGCCTTAAGGAGAATGTAATTAAAGTTTGTTTTTGCTGTTACATGTTCCGAAGCGCTGTAATTAATGCAGATGCAGTTCCGTTTTTGTCGGCTCAGATGCCGAGACATAAATATTTACTTGCAGCGCTCAGGCAGCTAATAGAATTTTATTATCTACGACACGGTTGCAGGTAATAAGATTTGTTGATTTAGTTTTTAGGGCTCTCTCGTAGCGAACGGTGTTGTTTTCGTCGTTCTCAATCTTCTTGTTCCACAGGTAGGTTCGTTTCCTGAAGTTTTATTCGAATTATATTCTAAAATGTTTTTGCACGAGGGATGGATATGTTTAGAATATTTTCAAAGAAGATCAAATACTAAATAAAATTAGTATTATTACAGTTACATTTATTATTTTTCAACATTAATTCTATGTATGAAAAAATACCAAATGCATATATAATCGTAAACAATTTTAAGTTCTACGAATTTTGGATGAAATGCGATAATGTAACAATAATGCACTAAATTGAACGACTCGTGGCTCAGCGTCAACGTGCGCCGATGGTGAGCAATTAGACTTGATGTTCCATCCTCTGGCTACTTTGATGTGGAAACTGTTTAAAAAAACGAGGATCCTCGATGGCTTTTGGAATGTAGAGCGTCTTGCCTCGTGAGACAACCTGGTGGGGATACTAGATAGTCTTTTAATAGATGCTGAACATCAGCGGTGAACGTTGTCACTGAGCCGCGAGTAGGGCAGACAAAAAAATGTTTCTGAATTTTATATTATTTAAAAAATACTAAAATATTATGCTGAGGAACGGATTTTATATTTTCAATTTTACTAATAAAATATTTTTTCTTTATTCCACATACAACACAAAGTCACAATTATGTATAGATTGAAAATATTTCTTTTAGTTATATTTATGATTTTTTTTTAAATTTAAAATTCATTATAGTTTCTATAATATATTATAATTTTTTTTTCAGTTACAAAATGATTGAAATGCATTTTTTTTTCTTTTACCACCAATGTTATTTTATGTTAAACAGCCTTTTAAGTTTAATAATTTATTCAAACAGATATTGCTATTAAATTAAATAACATTTAGTAAGACGAAAAATTCCCTTTACTCTTTTCTTAAATAGAAAAAAAAAAAAAAACTATTCAAAACAAATTAATTCATACACGAACGATTCTCCAAATCCCTAGCAAGTCTTTCTGCATATAATTAAATACCTAATACACAATCATAACATTGCAATCTTTCAGTAATTTCCCTACTTACACTGCAAAATTTTCCCTAAAAACAAAATGAAATTGTCATTTCCAACAACACTTAATTAATTCCATCAATAAGCAAGCAGAGAAAATGACTTCGAAGGGCTATCGACTCAACCGTGTTCGTCCATTTGTCATGTTTGGCAATAACTCATTCTCGCCAAGTTGGCGGTTTTTTTTCTTCCCTCTAGCTGTCTACTTCCGAGTTTATTAATATGTAGTGTATCTACTTTCGGAAGTCACAGAATTAATAGTGACTTTCTTTTTTTTTCTTCGTTCCCATCTTCCAAGATTTACGAGCCTTAAGGAGAATGTAATTAAAATTTGTTTTTGCTGTTACATGTTCCTATGCGCAGTAATTAATGCAGATGCAGTCGGTTTTTGTAGGCTCAGATGCAGAGATATAAATATTTACTTGCAGCGCTCAGGCAGCTAATAGAATTTTATTATCTGCGACACGGTTGCAGGTAATAAGATCTGTTGATTTAGTTTTTGGGGTTCTCTCGCAGCAGCGAATGATGTTGTTTTCGTAGTTCTCAATCTTCTGGTTCCACGGGTAGAAGTTTTATTCGAATTTTTTTTTAAATGTTTTGCACAAGGATACATTTTGAACATTTGCAAAGAAGATTAAATTTTTAAATAACACGTAATAAAATTAGTATAGTTACTCCAAATTTCACAATAAAAAAATTACATTTATTATATTTTTTGCTCATCGTATGGAAGAAAACGCGTAAACTTCCACTATGTAGTTCGACTAACCAGAAGATGCTGAATATCAGAAACGCCATCGAGTCTCTTTATTTTTGAAACAATGTCTACAACAATACACCAGCGAATTGAACCTCAGCCCTAGTATTCACCAATGGCGCACGTTGCCCTTGAGTCACGAGTCGGGCTGTAAATAAATTATATATAATATGTTATATTTTCTTCCTGAACTACGACAATTAGAAGATGCAGTTACACCGAACTCCATAAATCTTAAATTCTTCAATCGATCTTACCATTTATGTTCATGAACTATTTGAGATTCCTTTTTTTTTTTTTCGGGATCTGCAAGATATTAACCTTAATGATTAATCTTTACTGATTTATTTAAAATTGTGTGTATCCTTCCAAAACTGGAGTTAATTCCTTTAAAAGTAGAAAAAAAAAAAATTCATGAGTTTTGATTTTCGACTATCATGTATAGCAGCATCTGGTCTTTCCACACTCAAAATAAAAACAAAAAGTTTTTATATTTTTGATAGATCTTTAGCTCATTTCTTTGATTTGAATGCAAGATTTGCATTTCAAAGGTGAATATTCAGAACTTTCATCTTGCGATACATCTTTTGTCTATTGCATAATGACTCGTTAAATCAAATTCAAGGATAAAATGTCTTAATTAACACTAATAATCGAACCATAATAAGATTTCAAAATATATATTAGGTTAATATGAAGTTCATTGAATCGTTTAACAACGTAATAACATATGAGTGTTAATTAATACCGACCCTTCTACGCATGGCCGGCGGCGGAACAATTCGAACTGTTAACATTTATTAAATGCAACAGATGAGAAGGGCCCGAAATTAATTCGGCCCTAGCATTAAAACCACTTTAAGCACACTGACAGATTTAATATGAGGACCTCTCGCACTGCCGTAATGTCGACATCAAATTGGCAATTAAATGAATCTTTGATCACGATCGTAACATTCCACAGAAAATCCTATATTGCACGTCTACTATCATTTATAAAATAACAAATTATATGTTTTAATACTAAAATTGATCAGTTAATGTACTTCTAATAAATAAAACTTTTCAAGAAATTGTTCTCTAAAAGGCACATTGCTGCTTTTAACTGTAATAAAACTATAACACACACACATTGCACGTAATGTACGAGTATTATAGCACACACAATACGCGTAATGTACGAGTATTATAGTACACACACACAATACGCGTAATGTACGAGTATTATAGTACACACACACAATACGCGTAATGTACGAGTATTATAGTACACACACACAATACGCGTAATGTACGAGTATTATAGTACACACACACAC